CTTTGCCTCAGCCTGCTGAACAAGTGTCTCTTTGAATTGGAGAAGGCCATGCTGCGTCTTTAGCCTCCAAGCTGAACGATCGGAGGTCAAGGTTTCCCAGTTGTTAATGTCCATTCCCAGGGCCATTAGATCCCTCTTGCAGATATCCTTATATCGCAGCTGTGGTCTCCCTCTGAGGCGCTTTCCCTGCACTAATTCTCTATACAGGAGATCTTTTGGAATCTGACCATCAGCCATTCTCACGACATGCCCCAGCCAGTGTAGACGTTGCTGTTTCAATAGTGTATACATGCTAGAAATTCCAGCATGTTCCACGACTGCGCTATTTGGAACCTTGTCCTGCCAGGTGATGCCAAGAATTCGTTGGAGACAGCGCATATGTCCTGCCGTGCGTAGAGGGTCCAAGACTCACTGCAGTATTTTATAAAGGCCGTCCCTGATAACCAAGTCAAAAGCCTTCGTAAGATCTATGAAGGCTACGAAAAGTGGCTGTCTTTGTTCCCTGCATTTCTCCTGCAACTATCTAACGGAAAATACCATGTCAGTAGTGGACCTGTTGGCTCGAAATCCACACTGTGATTCTGGATAGACTCTCTCTGCAAGCACCTGGGACCTCTTCAGTACGACATGGGTAAGCAGCTTCCCTACAACACTAAGATGCCATGGTAGTTGTTACAGTCATACCTGTCACTTTGTTCTTGAACAGTGTGACGATATTTGCATCCTTCATGTCCTGTGGTACTCCACCTTCCCTCCAACAAAGATTTCATGCAGTTCAGTGGAGATGTTCTCTTTGCAGCACTTCAGAACTTCGGCAGGAATGTTATCTTTCCCGGGTGCCTTGCCAGAGGCAAGGGAGTCCAGGGCCGCATTTAGTTCTTCTAAAGTTGGTTCACTGTCAAGCTCCTCCAAGACAGGCAGGCACTCAATGTTATTTAATGCTTCTTCAGTTACCACATTTTCTCTGGAATATAACTCAGAGTAGTGCTGCACCCAGCGTGCCATCTGCTGTGCTCGGTCCTGGATAACCTCACCTGTAGCAGACTTCAGAGGGGCAGAGTTCTTCTGTGTTGGACCTAAGGCCTGCTTGATGCCATCATACATCCCCTTGATGTTGTCTGTGTCAGCTGCTATCTGGATCCGAGAGCAAAGCTGCAGCCAATAATTGTTAGCACATCTCCTGGCGGTCTGTTGGACTTTGCTACGAGCAGCTCACAGAACCTATAGGTTGCGCTCACTGGAACAGGCTTTATATGCAATTAGAGCTCTCCTTTTTTCCTCGATGGCTGGCGTCAACTCCTCCGAATGGGCTTCAAACCAATCTGCTGTCTTTCTGATCTCCTTACTAAATACTGACAAGGTGGTGTTATAAACAGCATTCTAGAAATATTCCCATCGTTCAGATGCATTTACTTCAGCTGGGCCTGGGAGAGTTTCCTTGAGTGCTTGTGCAAATTCCTCCACTTTGCCCTGATTGTGGATCTCACTGATGTCAATTCGTGGTCTTCCTTCCTTCTTCGAGTGATGCGATCTCTTTGTTTGCAGTTTTATTCTGCTGCACACCAAGGAGTGGTCTGTATCGCAATCAGCATCCTGATAGCTGCATGTAATTGTAATATTGGGGAGGTTGGAGCGCCTGGTAAGAATCAAGTCGAGCTGGTGCCAATCTTGGATGTCTCCAAGAGACTCTGTGTTGAGGCTTTGTTTTAAAGTATGTATTGATAACGCAAAGACCATAGTAGCAGCAAAACTCCAGCAGTTGTTGGCCATTTTCGTTCATCTTTCCGATGCCGAACTGATCTAAACAAGTGGGCCAAGAACTATAATCAGCTCTAACTCTGGCACTAAAATCGCTAAGGATAAACAGTGGTTCTTTCTCAGGGATTTTCTTGATAGTAGCAGCCAGATTGTTGTAGAATTTGTCTTTGGATTCTACTGAAGATGATAATGTCGGAGCATATGCGCTAATAAGAGTAACTAGCCCTGCTGATAAATGGAACTGCAAGGATAGAATTCTTTCATTTCCTGCAGCAGGTGGAGTAATGGATCCTAGTAGGGTGTTTCTGACCACAAAGCCAACCCCATGTTCCCTAGACTCGTTTGATGGTTTTTCCTGCCAGAAGAACGAGAAGTTTTTCTCCTTAATAGATTCCGAGTCTAACAGTCTTGTCTCTTGAAGGGCAATGATGTCCATCTGCAGTCTGCTCAACTCCATGTCAATGGCAGCTGTCTTATGTACATCATCTATCTCTTGTAAATCATCAGAAAGGCCGGGGGTCATTGTCCGAACTTTCCAGGTGCCCAAATATGCATTCACCACAAATATGACAAAATATCATGGCTATACTGACATTGACGAACTATCTGCTGTCTCCAATATTCATATAGCAATTCTACAGCTGACATAATTGTAATATAACTCACATGTACATTAACAATGCTATGCCTTAAAACAATTGCATCAATGTTATTGATACCAATGAAATGAGCATCATCTGTGCATGTGATCTGCTTTTATATGCTTTCCAGGCAGCATCTATCCAGCCTAACTATGCCTAAGCATGCTCAAATTGTACCAGTTCCACAAATGTTATACAATATGCCATGCACACCTGGACACGCCTGACTACACAAAACATCTTATAACATAAGCCAAAATTACTAAACTTAAAATATTTATAAGAACAAATTGCAGAAAACTTAAGATTTCTGTAAAGCGGCATGTGATAGACTACATTTTAGATTATTTTCATGATTAGCAGCCAAAAATCTATAAGATACAGCCCAAAGTGTTCAGAAAACAAAATCTTTGTTGTCCAGTGTCACTATCTACCATTTATGAGAAACCCACTACCAACGTTGCAGTATGGAAATTAGCTGAACTAAACACAAATTCAGGTTATCGTTAATCAAATAAAAACTGCTATTGAAGTCATTTCAATATTTTGTCCAATGACCAGATCTTTAAAATGCTGTAACAAGATGGTATGAAAGAAACCAAATGAAACAGTTCTAGGCAAATATCCTGTGTCAGGGTATGTAGATTTAATAGCTGTAAGCTGATGGAAGGTTGTAAGTGGAAGCAACTGAAAGCTGATGCAATGGGAATGAGGCAGCAGGGGTACTGCCACTTTAAGAAGCTGGGTAAGAAGCTGTCTATATAAGGGAAGCCATTAGAGGGTGTCTCCTTCTCCTCATGTTCTCTCTCGTCGTGTATCTCATTGTTCTCCTTGTGTGAGTAACTGTATGATAAGGTGTTTACCATGTATAAGTCTGTATATATACTGCTCAAAAAAATAAAGGGAACACAAGCAGAAGACATCCGAGATCTGAATGAATGAAATAGCCTTATTAAATACTTTGTTTGTTACATACAGTAGTTTATACACTGCTCAAACAACTAAAGGGAACACAAAACTATTGTATGTAACGAACAAAGTATTTAATAAGGCTATTTCATTCATTCAGATCTCGGATCTCTTTCTTTCAAATGATTCAGAAGTCATAAAATAAAGATTGGGATTTATCTGTTGGTTTACCAAACCAACTAATGAAGAGCCACTTTGAATAGCAAGAACTATTCAATTTTAATTTTTTTTTAGAAAAAAAAAGTTATAGGTAAGACTTATTTATGAAATTTATACACCCAACCATTTCAGCAAAAATGACTTATATTCAAAATAATCGTGTGCACGCATAAATCTGTATTTGTATCCCTATGCGTATTTTACAGAAGTGGCCTCTCTCAATTGCTTTGGATAATTGTATAAATACAAATAGGGCAAATCCCATGCTTTAGCAAACAGCGGGCAATGGAAGATAAGCCTGCAAGTTAAAATCCGAACTATCTCTCTTGGCTTGTATATTTCTAAGCAAACCACACAAGTCTCTTCTGCCAGATAAATTCATCCTTTTTTAACTTCCACAATTCAAGAGAATGAACAGCTTTCTGGATTTCTGATTTCACCATTTGGGCTCTCCGTTCTTCATGTCTTACCATAATCTGCTCTGGAGAACAGTAGAATAATACATAGGCTATAATTATCCTAACATTAAGAAAAACACAGAGATACATTCAGGAGCACTGGATTGTTCTCACTCTGATTTGGACAGTTTTCTGGATACCATGCTGAATCAAACAAAGGCGTTGCTTTTGTTTCAGGCTGTTCATCATGACAGCAGGACTATCATCTGCATCCTCATGAATCAAAATAAAACCTTCTCTTTCTGGAAACAAATGGTCATAGATAATGATACCAGCAAAACCTTTCTCTGGTACAATCTTGATTTTCTTCTGAAAAATGCAGATTGTTCTCACAAGAATTGCAGTGCAGTCCCCGTATTTGTTAGTACGTGGAACCAAATCTCCAGGCTGCAAGCATCTTCACCTTCATCTTCTGGAATCATTGACTGCCCCACCATCCTCTTGGAAAGAAGGCACTTTTCCAAGAAAGCTAGAAGATTGTTTTTTGGCCTGGTCTCTCCAATAAATTGTTAGATTCATGTAATATACAAAACCACCTGTAACCTTTGAGTAAAACAATTCAATAATAAGGGAAATGCTGAACACCAGGTTCTAGCTCCACAAAACCTCTTTTCCACAGTTACTGTGAAGTTTCATTCTTCTTTGAACAAATGGCAACAGGAAAGCCCAGTGTTGATTCACTTGAGAAAACTACCAAGGTAATACAAAACATTTCAATGTCAAACATCCTGCTGACTAGTTAAAAAAAAAACCCATGCAGTAAACTCACAAATATGTTTCTGTAAAACTGTATTTAACTCCATTCTCTTAGGAACTCCTAGCAAAAAGTAAATGTTTTTCCCCATTGCTCACAAGTTTTACAACAGTAATCTGGAACAGAGCTGCAGTCATTGTGACATCAGAACTAGCTCCATGGGAGATTCCCTCTCAACTCATAGACACCCATTACAAGAACACAGAAATAGGAAGCTTGAGATGGGCTGAATGGGCAGCTTAACCCTTGGTTGGCATATCAATACTCTTGATACCCTGACTACTATTCTGAATTCCGGCACAAGTTAGAAAAGAGAATTATTTGCGATCTAATTAATTTAGCTGTGTGATTTGTGTTCTATCCACAAAATTAGGTTGTCTATAACATGATTATTGTAATAAGCTTCCTTTTTATTTGACAACTTTATGCTTTTTTATTGTCTTTTAAACACATTTCCTAGCTGTAGCCTTTCTTTTCCTTTCCTTTCTCCTTTTCCCCTTTTTCTTTCCCTTCCCCTTTTCCGAGGTGGTTGTTCAGAACACAGCCACAAGGTTTTAGACAACTTGCACTGACACTTGCATTTTTAGTAGTGTAGACTGTCTGGGGACAATACAGGGAAACATTAAATCATGTTTAATGTAGAACAACAGCATCTATAGTTTTATCAATTCATTTGGTAGCTGTAGCATAGCTTCAATCAGCTTTCAGATTATTGAGGTTACAACTCTTTACACCACCAGCCAAAATTATGGAAGTTGTAGTCCCAACCAATTTGGAAAGTACCAGGCTGAGGAAAACCACCTAAAAGAATTAATAGAAAGGGCTTCCTGTTTTGCAAAGTTTGAGAATTCCATTCAGTACAAGGCAGGTTTGTCTACTTAGATCAGTGTTTCTGAATCTCAGCAACTTTAAGATGTGTAGATTTCAATGCCCAGAATTCTGCAACTACCAATAGTCTTCCTTAATAATTTTCTGAATAGGTCTGCATTTTGATCAATGATTTATCTGCAATCAGTATTTTTAGTTCTGAATAATTAGCAAGTATTTTCTAATCATTTCCTTGGTTGCCTCTTCAGCATCATTACACACAACAAGTGTTGTATGTACAATATATTTTGTTTTGAAAAAACAAAAGTTATTCCCTTCCCTTAGGGAGATATTTCAAAGAAAAAGACTATGGAAGTCTATAAGAAAATCCAATTCCATACAAAGCTATATTTAATTTATTCTGTATGCTTTCCCAACTGTTTCTTTACACATTCTAATCTAATCTATTTTGATAATATTAAAATTTAAACAAATAGGGCAGGGGTCAGCAACCCATGGCTCTGGAGCCGCATGTGGCTCTTTCAGCGCTCTGCTGTGGCTCCCTGTCGCTGGTCAGCTCCACAATTGATAGGGCTTTTGGTTAGGACAGGTAAAGGAAAAGGGATGCCACACTAGGAGGACTCTATGGTGGGGGGACCAGACTTCCGGTCGGCTCCAGAATTGAATGGGGGACTTCCGGTTAGGACCTTTGTGACTCTTTGAATGTTTAAGGTTGCCGACCCCTGAAATAGGGTGAAAAAATCAGCTTTATCAGAAACAGTTCAGCAGCTCGAATAATATATAATAATCCCAAGGTGATAAAGAATATAAAAATCAAAGTATAGGGAGCTGATGCAAACACCCAGGCTAATGTAGGAACTTATGCTGAAGGCTTCTGATGGAGTTATATGCTATATCAGAAAAAGTATGTTCAGTTCTTTGCCCAACACATTTAGTATGGGATTTGCAAATAGATCCAAACAAACAAAAAAGTGGCCTTAAAAAAAACTAAACAATTCTGTAAATCACAGGTAAATAAGGCCAAAAAGGAAAGAAAGCAAAAGCCCAACTATCAGATATTTTTGTACCAAAACTAAAGCAAAACATAATAATTAATATCAAAGAATTAGACTATAATGTATTGAGGACATGGTTTTATGCTACTCTATAATAGTTCAAACAAATTAAACACATTGATTTCTGTGGACTCAGCACATAGAGACAAATTACAATTATGCAGCAGCACATACCAGATGTAATTGTACTGTACTCCAGTGGACAACAGCTGGATAATATATGGATATGACCTCCATATATTACTATGTTACAGCCCCCATTAAGTCTCACCATTTGTACCTGGCTAGAGCTGAATGGAGTGGGAATTTAACCACATCACAAAGATACAGTTTGGTTTACAGTGTTATTTAAGTTAGGAGGAAATAACCAATCTGGTACAATAATTCGCATGCTCAAATACTCTCTCAATAAAAGTAAAAAGAAATAATAATAAAAAGAGACGGTAATGATGATCCCAACAAGGAGGGCCCATACTTTTTATTGGAACTTGAGAAAATTTTATGAACTATGTCCATTGTTGGCATATAGGTCTACCTTGGAATTTTTACTTACCTACATTTCTAATAAATGCATTTTACGTCCGAAGTATACTGCATTCTGCCTTGTTTATTCATGCTATAATTCACAGATTTACTGTAACAGTAATTGCATAGCAGTTTCCTCCTAAAAATGATTTGTTGCTCAAAAGTCAGTTACCCTACAGCAGTTAAGATCGTAACACTCTACTGCTGAGTAAAAAAATGTTCTAAATGAATGTCCAGACTCCTATCTGAGCATCTTAAAAAAATTTCTCAGATGGATAATTTCTTGCTATGGCACAAGTGACACTCAAGGTGCAGAATAATCATGTAGAGCAATTGTGATGACAAGATGGCTACAGCTTCAGTCATACCAATTAGAAGTCACTGAGATTTTTAAAAAATTCCCTCTATATTCCATATTCTTATCAAGTATGCATTCTCCTTACTCTGAAAAGGTGTAGGTTATAGTGTTTGTGAGGAAAGCCTTTCCACACTATTACTTGGTAATAACAATTGAGTTATATCAACAGGTTATAGTGTAATGCTTTTTTTTCACATGATACAGCTGGACCCATTCCTGGTTTAAGAAGGAATCTTCTGGATGAGTCTTCAGCCATCTTGTTTCTTCCCAGTTTCTGCTAGTCAAATGATTAGAGGTAAGTTTTAAAGAAACAGCCAAAAATTGTACACTAAAGAATTACGGATTAAAAGTTTAGGATTTTCAATCATATTAACTACTTGTTTTCTCATTAAAATAAATGTTTCTCTTAAGAACACAGATTCTGTTCCTTTCATTGATGTGTGTTCTGTGCTAATTCCACCCACGTTTCCCATTTAGTAAATGTTTGACCTCAGTTATTTTCAGTCTTCTCAAGAGGGCTGTGGGAATAGCTAGTCTGGAAATACATCCAATAGTTGACTTTCATAAAATTGATATTTTGGAAAATGCTTTTGCATGCAACTTTAACTCGAAAAATATGCAGCCATCATGCAGCACTAGTTGCAAATAATTTCTCTCTTTCTTAAGTTGTTTAATGTCTGTGCTTATTGGACAGATTGTTTTAGATAACAAGGAGGATTAGTTCGATGTGGATAATAAATACATTCTGCAAAGACAATCTCATCCATACACTTCTGAGACTATTTAAACACATACATACTGCAAAATCAGTATGTCCCAAGAGGGAAAAAAGCAACAAAATTTCACATTAAGTGGTGATGTCCATAAATGTAGAGCTTTAATTATTGATCATAACTGACACTAGCCTCCAAATCATCACCTCTCTCCAAGTAAGAGAGTTCTTAAGAGTTAGTGAGAAGAATGCTCTTACATATGATCCTGAAAAGAAAAGGAGCTTTGGGAATCTGATGAAGATAAATTATTGCATCTCTCTCAGTTGCCTTGGATAATGGCATAATTGCAAATCGGGCAAATGCCACGTTTTAGCAACCACCGGTCAATACATCGTTTGTGGAAAATATGCCTGCAATTTAAAATCCGGACTATCTCTCTTGGCTTATACGTCTCTAAGCAAACCACACACGTTTCTTCTGCCAGATCAAATTCATCCTTTTTTAACTTCCGCAATTCAAGAGAATGAACAGCTTTTCGGAGTTCTGATTTCATCATTTGGGCTCTCCGTTCTTCATGTCTTATCATAATCTGCCCAGGAGTACAGCATATTAAGACATAAGCAACAAATGTCAAAATGAGAGAGTAAGCACACAGGTATATCTTCCAGAGGCACTGGGTTGCTCCCATTTCAATCATGGCAGTTACTCGAATACCTTCCTGAATCAAGCGAAGAATCTGCTTTCCTTTCAGGCTGCTAATCATGACAGCAGCAATCTCACCAGCATCTTCACGAGTTAAAATGAGACTCTCTCTCTCAGCACATGAATGATCATAGATAATGACCCCAGTAGCACCTTTCTGTGCTGCTGCCATTACTTTATCCTTAAAAGTACAGCCTCCTCTTGCAATGAAGGCAATCCAGTCCTCTGTATTTGGTGGTATGTTGAAGTTAGTCTCCACCCCACAAGCATTTTTAGCTTCACCTTCTGGGATCACCAACACACCCATCATCTTCTTGGAAGGCAGGTTCTCTTCAAATAAAGCTGGATGATAGATCTCTGACATGGCCCACTTCCCCCAATGAAGTGTTAGATTCATATAATACACGGATGGGCTTGCAGCTTGGGAATCCGGTACACCAAACATTAGGGAAAAACCCAAGGCCAATTTCCAGCAAAGTGAGATTTTTCTTCTGCAGTGATTAAAAGGCTTCATTTCTCCTTCTACCTTTTGCAAGTAGCCAGAATATTTCCTTTTTAAAAAATGATGATTTCTTCAAAGTGTAGAGGCTTAGATAAGTAACATTTCTTGTCCTGGTATATTTGGAGGAGAGATTATTTGTGGGATCAGCCAATCCTTTCAACTGCCATGTCAAGTGATGCACTTCCTAGTATCATAAACTAACATAAACAATGGCCTAGCTAATTTGAATACTGCAAGCTTATTGGCTAAAATTTTAAAATTTACTAAAGCTTTGGCTCTTAAGGCCAGTACTATAATTATTTGACTGATTTCATAACTTCATTTTAATTTTCTAGCTGCCTGAACTATTAAAAATTGAATGTTAAGTCATTGGACACTAAATATGCTGCATTTTCTACATTTATTTCACTTTCTAAATGTTTACAGGTGACACCACCTATTGATTTTCATGCCTGAGGATAATCACTATGAAGAGGATTGCAATGCAATTGTGATGGAATGTAGTCTAGATTTTCAGGAAGGAGGCAACTAGTTTGTGTGAGAGAAAGAGAATGAAGACAGCTCCTCCCTCATAGTCCCCAGAGTATATCCTTCATGTAGGTATAGTCTGCCTCAGTTTGACAATATTTTGTTTATAGGCATGGAACCAGTGGTGAAATTCAAATATTTTTACTACTGGTTCTGTGGGTGTGGTGTAGCTTGGTGGGCGTGGCTTGGTGGGCATGGCAGGGGAAGAATACTGCAAAATCCCCATTCCCTCCCACTCTGGGGCCAGCCAGAGGTGGTATTTGCCGGTTCTCCGAACTACTCAAAATTTCCACTACCGGTTCTCCAGAACCTGTCAGAACCTGCTGAATTTCACCCCTGCGTGGAACAATAAAGAAACCTGATTAGAATTCCTTTGTGTGTTCCTAGGAGTACTTCATTTGTACCCCAAATCTAAGCAAAATTTCTTAAATAGACACCTGAGGCTTAGATATTACTGTACTATCAGAGTATTTATTCACTTTCTAACTAGCTACAGTTTTGGACGAATAGCAGTTAAAGACATGACTAAGCTGAAAGACTCTTGATTTTCATTTCCTATCCATATCATTTTAATGCATACATTTTAATAATTTAATAATAATAATTGGAGGGTTAAAATGCAAACTGGCAGATGATGTTAAAACTAGGGCTACCAATCTAGGCTGCAGTTTTCTTTAGATTTCAGTTTCTGTATAATTTTGTTGCCATCTAGTAATTGTCTGAATTGTTGTAGACCTGCACTGAATATAGAAGATAACCTTGACGAAGAGAGCTGTTGCCAAAGCTGAATGAGGCTTGAGCCTGGACTAAAAACATGTTTATGAAAATGATTCAGACATGAAGATAAGGAAGAAGGGAAGCACTTTAAGACTTGTAAATTTCTGTTACTTTAACCCTATAATAAAAGTAGTATTGGTAATTCATAACTTTGGGTTCCTAGTCTGGTCTTGTCTTGAAGGACTGACTCATTTACCCTTTGCAAGATTCCGTGACTAAAGCTGTCCTAATAAAAGTAGCTTTAGGTCTATGCACACAAACCCCCAAAATGCAATGTGTGTGGGGCCCCCCTTGCATGCACCCGGTCCCCGTGCATACACGACAGAGACCCAAAGACCAGTTGGTCGGTGGGAGGCATGTGCACATGCATAATGGAGCTGAACTGGGGTGACGGCTTGCATGCCATCAGAGAGGGTGCTGTGTGCACCCTGTGTTATTATTATTATTATTATTCTGGCACGTGTGCCATAGGTTTGCCATCACGATTTTAGGCTTTTATGTGTGAGGTCTCCTTGTTATATTATTGTGAACTGTTGCTGTTCTCTTTTTCTTTGAAAACTACATCAACTGTAGGAACAACCTCAAATCATTCAACAATAATAATAGTGATCTTAACCCAATGTTACAAGTATTATTAAGAGGAAGACTGAGAAAGATGATAAAATAGCGGATGGAGAGCCAGTTTGGTGTAGTGATTAAGGTAGTGGTCTAGAAATCAGGAGACTAAATTTAGGCATGAAAGCCAGCTGAATGGAAAAGATTAACAAACATTTGGGCTACAGATTAATCCCTTCAGAGTTTGTAAATTTGTTTATGAAAGCTTGACATCTTAATTATATATAAAGCTTGATATAATGTTAATAGCCATCCAGACAAATATTATTTATATTACATCTTCTTTTATGAGCCATTAACATTTAGCAAAATATTAAATATTTAGCAGCTCAATGGTTTGTACATACTAAAATTATAATTTAAATATTTTGTCTTCATCTAAGAATTTTCTACAGATTATACTGGTAACAATAAAGCTTTGTGACGGACAGAGGGGGAGGGAGGGAGGAAGAAAATGACAGAGAGAGAAAGGAAAGAAGAAAAAGGCATTTAAAACTGAGAGTACCAATAAAGCACTGCCAAAAAACCCCCCAAAACAGATTAGTAAATCAGACTACTCCAGGGTGAAATCTACTTACCTTCCCTACTGGTTCGGAACGCGCGCACTCGCACTCCGCTCATGCGCACGCATCATGTGCAATTTTGGACCCTCTGCGCATGCACAAAGTCTTCTGCGCATGCGCAGAGGGTCAAAAACAGGTTACTTCCTGGTTAAAACCAGGAAGTAATGACGTCCAGGCAGGTGGGCGGACCTTCGCGCTGCTGCTTCTACCGGTTCTCCAAACCACGCACCACCACCACTACCGGTTTGCCCGAACCGGTAGCATTTCACCCCTGGACTATTCTGTTTTTTATTTGAGATTTACTAATTAGCAAGGTTGTAATTCATGACTACATTTGGATCTGTAAATTCTATTTACCAAACACCTGATTTATGACAAACTAGACTGGGGGGAAAAAGTCATTATCATTCCAGAAGAAGGCAATACCAGACCACTTCCATATTGCTGGCAAGAAAATTTCATGGATATATCCATGAGGTCACTAATATTTAAATTTAACTTGAAAAGATGTAAACTTTACTTTTGCTGACACTGATGATAAATATCTAACAACCACAGATTCTATGCTAGGATATGCACTCTTTTAAAGCAGACCAAGATTAAATGTACATGCAAATCATGTTTTCTTTTTTTTTTTTTTTTTTTTTTTTAAAAAATCATGTTTTCTAATTGATGTTGGACATACTTATGTTTGGTAGTTACTTCTCAAGGTGAGTTTTATCCCAGATCAAAGCAATCGGTTCTCAAAGGGCATAACAGACTGAAACTACAGATTGAAAGAATGGAATCAAAATGAAGCATGTAATCAGTCAGATGGACTCATTTTTGCAGTCACCCAACAGTGATCTCACTGAGGCAGAGATAAAAGAAATTGGACACTCCTGAGATAATAGTACAGTAGCAAGTCAGAATGTGATACTCCCTTGCAAGAAATTGATCAATTTTTCCAACTCTATAAGGGGTAATGGTTCCTATTATTACAGAGGAGAAAACCAAAATACCTAAACAAATCTAAGTTATTATTTTACTCTTTTATGATGTATTAAAATAAAACACTTACAGGGTTGAATTCCATGGGGACTGCTATCTTGTAATCTCACACTACAGCTCTTAGATTAAAAGACAAAACATTTAGAACTCCAAATTTGCCAGGATGAATTGGAACTCCAATGCCTCTTCCTAGAAATCAATTAGTTAGGATTCCCCAGTAACCCTATCAGACTAGTGAAAGGGGGCAGGGTTTTTTAATTAAAGAAAATATATTCTAATTACATAACCAATACACTAAATAAATTGGGAAAAGCTATAAGTAGAGGCAAAAGCATCTAAGTGCCTTAGAAATGCTAAGCTTTCAAGAACAAATACATGCTACTAGACTTTTTAGACTGATCTCTCAATTAGTCACATCTCAAGCTGAAGAGCATCAAAAATTATCTTTCTATCAGCCCTTCAGTTTGTTCTAAACCTGTTTTTCCTTTTTGTTTTTTTGGGGATTTTTGTAGAAGAAATATCAAGAGATTCAGAACTTTCAAAAATAGATCTGGTTCTGCAGGGTGGCAAATATATTTTTTCTAACACCAGAGTTCAGCAGTAATACCCAGTTCCTCCCATTTCGTCCTTTGTGCATAATGTGCTCTGAATGTCAATACTTAGGGTTGACCTTCCATTTTTCAAGTCATAGACATATTATAAATATTAAGATTTGAAAGAATACCCCCCTAAGATAATAGTTATAATGTCACCATGAGTAGTGATGAGTAGAGCACAAGTTTTTATATCCAAATCTGGTTCCAGAAAGGTATTAGTAATCTCTAATACAAAGCATTATTTCAGTTACAATACACTGCAAAACGATGTAAGCTTATGGAATACAGAACAACTGTATGTTTTTTAACATTAACAAAACATTCAGAAAAGTTGCAGACCTATGCTAATAGTAAACAGGGTGGCTGACCAAGATGGTCTAAACTGCAATATAATGCAAATGTTATTCTGCATATGTAACTCTTAGAAATATCCTTTCAATAAAACTGTTCATTTTCAACCATGTAGCAGGTAATAGTTAATGAAATATTGATTACATACACAAGTGATTAGTACACTTATTACAACAATTACCACATTTTATTCTAGAAAGCCTTAAAAGCATACTTTTCTCTGGAATTTCTCCTCCCTAGCTACTTTGATTGTTCCTTGCTCTGCAGAGAAAAGGAACGTATTCTAAGTACTGCTTAAATTTTATTACTACTTCTTTAGAAAGTTATCTTTGAAGAAGGCTCACCAGCACGGATGACAGGGTGCCTTTTTCTTTGAGGTGGCAATTGTTGCTTTAATGGACTCTTCTGACATTGTGCACAATACTAATCAGCAGTTTTGGGGTCTCATTGGCAGGATGTTGTCAACCTATTTCGTCCTTGCAACGGCCCACAACTTCGTGCTGTTATAAATGTCATCCATTCACTTTCACTTCAAATCTTACCAACAATGCTAAAGACAGATCTTTCTGTTTCTTTCGGTCACTATTCAATGGCTGATAAGGAACAAATGAACATTAAGAAGTAGTGAAACATCAGAACTTGGCCATGCCTGCACTTGAGAAATGGAGAAATGACATGAATGGGATTCTTGAAAACAGTAGGGGAAAAATAAGAAGGAAAATGGACAAACAGTCTTCTATTTTGGAATATTAACTTTTAATAAGAATGTTAGTGACGATAAAAAAATTGCCAAAAAACCTGTGACTGCTTCAGGCAGCATTAGGAGTCAAAAACTGACTTGAAGACACAACTGCATGCATGTACACACACAACTATAGTACAATTTATTCTGCCAATGTAAATCTAGCTGAGTGTACAAGATGATACAATATCACCTATCCTTTTCTCAGTCTGCCTTGAAGAAGTATTTCGCAAACTAGACTAGGCAAAAGATGGAATAAAAATCAACGGTGCATATTTAAATCACTTAAGATTTGCAGATAATGTTGTTGTCTTCTCACAAGATCCAGAAGAGACATAAGAGCTGCACGAAGCAGGAAAACCATTTAGCTTAAAAATAAACTTGAAAAAGAGCCAGGTTATGTTTAATAAATTCACTAAAGAAATAATTTTTTTTTATATCTGGAGAAGAACTAGACATAGTAGACAACTACATATACTTTGGCCAATGGATCCCAATGGAAGATGATACAACAAAGGAAATTGAACGGCGTGTTAAATGTGGTTGGGAGGCATTCGGCAAGCTAAGCGTAATTTTCAAGAACAATCTCTCCTATGCCTGAAGAGAAAAGTTTTTGGTCAGTTGTGCTACCTACTCTAACGCATGCGGTGAACCTCACAATCGATACAAAAGCTATGAGTGGTGCAAAGAGCCATAGAAAGATACATGCTCAGGATTACAAGACAAGATAGAAAAACCTGTACATGGATTAGAGAACAAATGATACGATATCATCAAGAGAGCAAAAGAATTGAAATGGAAATGGGCTAGTCACATAGCAAGAAGAACATGGCAGGTGGATCAAGGCAGTCATAGAATGGATCCCACTTGATAAAAAACATTGGGTACCGGGTTCATACTATCACGTATGGTGGACATGCCCAAAGGCAAAAAAATACTGGACAAAAATACACACAATTGGAAAAAAATAGTAACGCAACACATAGATTTAAAGCCAGAAATATTTCTGTTGGGTATTCTACCAGCAAAATATAATAAATGGAATACATATTTAATTTTACATGTGTTAACTGCAGCTAGAATTGTGTTTGCACAACAATGGAAAAATGAAGAGATCCCTACAGATGAAAATGTTATTAAAAAAATATTATAATGTGCAGAAATGGATAGGCTAACATTTAAAATTAAGGAGAAGGAAGAAACTGAATACTTTTTAACATGGGATTTGTTCTATCAATGGCTAACTAGTAGAAACAGAAGTTAGAAACTTAAAAGCACAAGGAAATGATTAA